ATTTGTTCTTTCTACCTGTCCCGAACTTTGAGGCCTATAGGCACAGTGTAGGTTCCACTTTATTCCAAGGATATTACTAATTAATTTAGATATCTTAGCCATAAAGGCTGGACCATTGTTGGACCCCAGAGCTAAGAGCAAACCAAAACCGGGGAACTATTTCTGTCAGGAGCTTTTTAACTGTTATTTCAGCTGTCTCCCTCTTAGTGGGGTATGCTTTTACCCATCTTGAAAATATATCCACGAAAACTAGCAGGTATTTGTACCCATACATGCCAGGCTTCATTTCAGTAAAGTCCAATTCCCGATGTTCTCCTGGAGTTAGTCCTCTGTGTCGGACCCCAGGGGGCCCGGTTACCCAATTAGCATTTACCTTGAGGCAGGTGGGGCATCGTCTCACCATGTCCTGGGCCTTTTGGGCTAATCCCTGGCTGACGAAATGGGGTTGTAAGGCAGCCATCATCCTTTTCTCACCGAGGTGGGTGGACTCATGTAGTTCTCACAGCAACGTGTCTGTTACAGCGGCTGGGAGCACCACCTTTCCCTCCTTAGTCATCCACCACCCATGTCTTTCTTGAGTCCAGCATCTCCTGTTCATTTCCATTATCTCCTTGTCTGTATATTCAGGTTTTTCTGGGAGTACCGGTGTGGGAAGCAGAACCATTTGTTTCCCCACTGATTTGGGGGTGGCTTGTCTTGCTGCCTGATCAGCAGCATTATTACCAATCACCTCGGGGCTTGACCCCTTTTGGTGCCCATGGCAATGGATGATGGCAACCTCTCGGGGCAACCAGATGGCTTGTAGCAGTGCCAATATCTCAGTCTTATTTTTAATTTCCTTTCCTTTAGAGGTCAACAGTCCTCTATTTTGATAAAATTCCCCGTGTACGTGGGCGGTGGCAAAAGCATAACGGCTATCAGTGAATATATTTATCCTTTTTCCTTTTCCCAATTCCAGAGCCTAAGGGCTCAATGGCATGGGAAGTAATCAAAGTTAAATCCTGTCCAAAGGTCAATTTGTCAGCCTCTCAGGGTAAAGGAGCTGCTGCTGCTACTGTCCTCAAACAAGTAGGCCACCTTCGGGCCACTGGGTCGAGCTTCTTTGAGAGATATGCCACAGGCCGTTTCCATGGCCCAAAAGCTGAGTAATCACTCCTTTAGTTACCCCATTTTTCTCTGTCACATACAAGGTAAAGGGCTTGCTTAAGTCTGGCAATGCCAGGGCTGGTGCCGATGCAAGTGCAGTCTTAAGCAATTGAAATGCCTGCTGGCAAGCCTCAGTCCATTTGAGGGGTGTATTTCCTCCTGCAGTGGCCTCATGCCGGGGTTTGGCAATCTCAGCAAAGCCAGGAATCCAAATCCTGCAATAGCCAACCGCCCCTAGGAACTCTCCCACCTGTTTCTCTGAGCCCGGCTTTGGAATCTGGAGAATTGCGGATACCCTCGATTCTGCCAGCCTCCTCTTTCCCTTTTCAAGAATATAGCCCAAGTAGGTTACCTTGGTTCTTCAGAGTTGAGCTTTCTTCCAGGACACCCGATATCCCAGTTCCTCGAGGGCTTTCAGGAGGCCCTTGGTGGCTGCAATGCATTCTTTATCGGTTGAAGTCCCCACCAGGAGGTCATCGACATACTGAAGAATAGTCGCCTGGGGAAACACTTTTCTTACCTCTTCCAGATCTTTGCTGAGAACTTCCCCGAACAGAGTGGGGGAGTTTTGAATCTCTGCGGCAGCCGGGTCCATGTCAGCTGTCCGGTTGTTCCAGCATCTGGATCAGTCCATTCATAGGCGAACAGGGGCTGGCTCACAGGTGCTAGAGGCAGGCTGAAAAACACATCTTTAAGGTCTAATACTGAGTACCACACATGACCGGGAGGGATGAGACTCAACAGTGTATAGGGGTTTGGTACTGTTGGGTGAATGGTCTCCACCTGGCTGTTTACTTTCCATAAATCCTGTACCAGTATGAAGTCTGAGGTGCCAGCCTTCCTCACAGGAAGCAGGGGTGTATTCCAGGCTGACTGGCAAGGTATCAGGATGCTGGCTTCCTGGAGTCTGTGGATGTGTTTGGATATCGCTACCTTGGCCTCCAGCCAAAGGGGGTACTGCTGCACATGGCAGGGGTGGTAGAGGCCAACAGTTGAACCACCACTGGGGCATGGTGTTTGGCCAATCCGGGTGAATTGGTTTCAGCCCATACTAGGGGAAACATTTTCTGAAGGTAGTCCCATTTTTGTTCAGGAGGTTCTGTGCCCTCCTTTAGCAGCTTAAATCTTCAAGGGGAACTGTTACCATAATGGCAGAGGATGGCTTGAGTTCAAAAGTCCCTCCTTCAGGCTCAAAGGAAATAGCAGCCCCCAATTTTTGTAGTAGATCTCTTCCCAACAACGGGTATGGGCACTCTGCGATGGCTAAGAAGGAATGAGTAACAGTACCGTTTCCCAGATTTACAGTTCATTTAGTGGTCCAAGGGTAAGAGGCTGACTGTCCTGTGGCCCCGGTAATGGAGGACTTCAGGGAAGAACGGGTTCCAAGGGGGGTCTTTAGGACAGAATGGGCCGCACCAGTATCCACAAGGAATTGGACATCTGTTCCCCCTATTTCCAAAGTCACCATAGGCTCATTAGGGTCAAGCGGCCATGAGCCTCAGCCCCGTCAATCTTCCTCATCTACCAAGAGAACTCCATCTCCTCTTTTCTTAGTCTCTTTTTCTCTCTTTTTTTTCAACTTTTCACAATCCCTCTTGTAATGGCCCTTTTCTTTGCAATATGCACATTGATCCTTTTCTAACAAGGGCCATACTTTACTTTTATCCTCTTTTTTATTGTCTCTGTATTCCTTTTGGATAAAACCTCCATCTGTCAAGGCTGCAATGTTCGCCTTTCCTATCTTTTTAGCCATTCTATCCTCAAAAGGATCCCTATTGTTAAACACCTTCATTGCCACACTCATCAACTTTTCCCTATTCTCTCCCTCAAATCCTTCCATCTGCTGCAGTTTCTTTCTAATATCTGGGGCCGACTGAGTGACAAAAGCCAAATTAATTGCCTGTTGATTTGCAGGGGCATCTGAGTCAATTGGAGTATACGTGCGGTATGCTTCTAACAGACTCTCCAGAAAGGCAGAAGGGGATTCCTCAGGTCCTTGAAGGACCTTGCTTACCTTGCTCAAATTGGTAGGCTTTCGAGCGGCTCCCCTCAAGTCGGCTAGGAGATGCTGACAGTAGTTGTGGAGAGCTTCTCTCCCGCCCGAGGAATTAGCTTGCCACGAGGGATAGGTGGACGGAAGTTGCGCCTCAATACAGGCCCGCTGTTGTTCATCGAGGGGGCCTTCTCTTCCCCCTAACACTGCCTTTCTGGCTTGCTCTTGGATCCTTTCTCTTTCCTCAGAGGTAAAAAGAGCTTGGAGAAGTTGTTGACAATCATCCCAGGTTGGGTCATGGGTATGAAAAACAGATTCTAGGGCACTGGTAGGCAAATTAAAAGAAGAACCTGCCAGATGATAGCCAGTATAAGGGTTTTCCAGAGAAAAAAGCAGGGTCTTTTCTCAGCTTCAACACTCCCCACAGCTCACCTCCTGCAATTACAGCATTATGGGACTATATCTAATTCCTAGAATGAAGAAGCTGGGGCTAAGTAAAAAAATCCCAGCAGCTAGTGGAAGCAATCCACAGCAGTAAACGAGGCCCAGGCAGTGGAGAGCCATGCCAAGGTAACTGCTAGAGAGCCCTGCCCAGATGGGCAGCAGAGAGCTGTCTCTAGGCATAGGTGACTGGAGCCCAGGTCAGGAAACCTGAGTCCAGGTTACCTAAGTAGTGACCCGAGCCCAAGTACTGACCAGCCACACACAGACAACACAATCTTCTCCCACCTAGTTAACACCTGTTAATGCTCACCACCTAGTTAACATCTGTCCCAGCTCCTTTCCACCTGGGATATGGGCCCCAGTGACTGAAAGAGGTGCAGGAAAGAGACCTCTCAGATTAGGGCACCTAAGGGTGCCAGAAAATTAATCACTGGGCAGAGATTGAGTTTGAACCAATGAGTCTTTGGGACAGAAAGAAACAGGGGTTGGACCTGGATAGGAACCTGGAAAGAGGCAGGGGCATGAATCAGCTGTAATCTAAGAGATCAAGAAGAGACACCAGAACAGTTGCAGAGTGAACACATTCCCACCCATACACCAAACACTGCAAGGCTCTGTGCCCTCCTGACTGCATTCTGGTTTTCCAGATACCACAAAGCTCAGTGCTCATGTGGGATATATCTCACTGTCCATTAAAGACTGATTAGCTAGAAGCTCAAGTGAGCAATTTTTTATTGGCTCCTCCTAGACTTTGCTGAGTTCCATGATGAAGGGCCTTTTCTGAATGAGTTCCAAGTGGCACTGAACTCCCAGGCTGAATAGAAATTCTATGAGAAATATGGTCAGAGAGCTTGGAGAAGACACAGAGAAAGAGGTATGGTGGGACCACAGAATGCTTGCATGCTGTGCACAATCACAGCACGGTGGAGGGAGCAGCCTTAAACATCTGCATGGAGAGAAGAAGGCTGGGAATGAAGGACTCCCACAGATTAGTGGACTAAGTGCTTGACCAATCCAAACCTGCCACCACCCCCTAAACACAAACTCTGAACAAATTAAAAGTTTCTGGACATAGGACAGATACAAAATATCCAGCTAATCATGTCCACAACAGTCTAACTAAAATCTAACAGAATCCTTCCTGCCCAGTGTAAACTCTCTACTTCTGAATATCTCTTTTTAATTTTTTATTGTTTCCTGTTTTGATTTCTTTTATAAATAAATTTCTATTTGTCTTTCTCTTCTGCTTTTAATTTTTTATATTATTTTACTTTTTCACTTTTTCTTTTCTTGGTGTTTTCATCATTATTAATTTTATTAGTACATTTTAGATATGCATAATGATGACATTCATCATATGATATTTGTACCTACACATAATCTATCTTGATTCTTCTCTTTATTCCACAATCCCCTGCCCTCTCTTCAATTCCTCTTCCCTTCCTTATTTCCAAAAGCTTTGCTTCCACTTTGTCCTTCTATTCACTTTTTCCCCCTTCTTTGTTTTTCCCTTCTCACCTCCTTTGTTCCCCTTTCCATTTGAAAATTTTCTTCCCATTTCTAAATATCTATTATAAATTTTGGTCTTTATTTACACTTTTGGTTTCTCACACAGAGAAATAATGCAATATTTAAACATGTGTATCCAATTTCTTTCACTTAAGAGTATGGCCTCAAGGTGCATCCATTTACTTACAAATGTCTCAAGCTATGAAAATCCAACAGCCAACATCATACTAAATGGTTAAAAACTGAAAACCTTCACGCTAAAATCAGGAACAAGACAAGGATGTCCACTCTCACCACTACTGTTCGATATAGTTCTGGAAACATTAGCTGCAGTGCAGCAATTAGACAAGAGAGAGAAATAAAAGGAATAAAGATAGGAAAGGAAGAAGTTAAACTTCTTCACTATGGTCTGATAATATGCATAGGGTAATTTCAATTCCTTTGTATTTACTTAAGCATGTTCTATGAGCTAGCATGTGGCCTATTTTGATGAGCAGCTGAGAAGAATGTGTGTTCTGATGTGGGGGAGTGGACACTCTATAGACTTCTAATAAGTTGTTTTATTGAAAAGTTTGGTTTAATTCTGATATGTCTTTGTTGTTGTTGTTATTGTTGTTTTGTTTTGGTACTGGGGATTGCATTTGCAAGGCAGGCAGCAGAACCACTGAGCTAAATCCCTGGCCCTTTTGTTGTTTTTTTGCCTAGTTGATCATCTACTTGTGACAGTGGGGTATTGAGGTCTCTCACTACAATTGTGTTAGTGCTTATTTGATTTTTCGTGACTGTTAATGTTTTATATATTTGCTTGCTCCAGTGTTTGATGCATACATATTTATATATATATATATTTACTTCTTCTTGAAGTGTTCCCTTAACAAGTACGTAGTGACCCTCTTTTCTCTCTTGATCAGTCTTGGCTTGAAATCAATTTTGTCTGCAAATAGAACAGCTACTCCTCCTTTTTTTCTGGGTTCCTGTGGCATGAGGTATTGTTTTCTATCTCCTGACTTTAAGTCTATGAATTTCTCTTTGAGTTAAATGTGTTTCTTGTATGCAGGATAATTTTGGATCTTGTTTCTTGGTCCATTCTGCTAGTCTGTTGCTTTTGATTGGTGAATTGAGACTATTTACATTGATGGATATAACTAATATGTATTGACTTACTCTGGTCACATTATTTTCCTATTGTTGGTTCTTTTTCTTTCCCCTCTGTTTAATTGCTTGCCTTGCCTGGTGGATTCTTTCTATTGGTGTTCATGGAATTGTAGTCTTCCTTATCTCTTTCTAGAATGTCCTTCAGAACATTTTGGAATACTGATTTGTGGTCATGAATTTATTCCAGTGTCCTTTGTCATAGAAATATCTTATTTCTGCATTGATTTTGAAAGATAGTTTTGTGGAATACATCAATCTGGGTTGGAGGTTGTTTTCTTTTAGGGCTTGAAATACTTCATTCTAAGCTCTCCTTGACTTAAGGGTTTGTGTTGAGAAGTCTGTTGTGATTTTGATGGGCTTTCCTTTATAAGTGATTTGGTTTTTTTGTCTAGTAGCTTTAATATTCTGTTCTTATGCTGAATTTATGGAATCTTTTTTATGTAACAAACTTTTTCTTATCCCATTCCACCCTCCTATTCCACCCCCTCCCCTCCCTATG